AAGACATTATGAACTCAGCTAATTGCAGACTCAGTGCTAAGCATTAAGGACGATGTCAAAAGAACATGAAGAAGGAAGACTAATCATTAGTTCTAAGCCAATTTGTATCCATCAGCGTGAGAGTAAAAGTATGTTAAAAAGCAAACAAAAGACAAATATTTTCTAAAATTAATTTTACTACTAAATAATTATTTACAATTAACTAGAATTGTCCAGGTCTTATAATAATGAAAAAAATATTGAATTCTTAATTCTAAGCCTAATCAGATTAATGTTTCTGAAAAGCCAAACACAAAAAAACAATAAATGCCCAACTCATACATGTTTAAAGAAAATCAGGATCAGTTTGACTTCTTTTTCTTTCCCTCTTCTCTTCCTTCCTTCCTTTTTTTTTTGGAAGAAATGATTAGAAAAATAGAAGAGCAAATTCAGTTTTTATAAAATGAAATACGCTTTTATAGATAAACTTCAACAAATGTATGTCTCCAGATCCTTGATGTTAAACTATGGTAAGCCATGGGTTTTCCTGGCTGTGAAATGCAGACCTTAGGTGCCACCAGTTGCAGAGCTCTTTCCCCTCACCCATATTGTCTATCTCTGAAATGAATTTAGAAATGTTGGCACCCAAAGTTGTTGTCTTTACAGCCAACATAGTTTGAATCAAACTGGGCTCAACCAACACTTTGCAAAGGCTAACTAACACAAAGACATTTTCAGAAGGACTAATGTATTGCATAATAATCATTCTGTGAGGTTAACTAATTCTTGTCTATTAAAGTGCAAAATGTCTCAATGTGTACATTATAAAGTATTCGTCAATGGTTCTAATTAAGTAAGTGATTATAGGGCAACTTCTTTATGCTGTGCATGACATAAGGTACTCAGGACCAAAAAAAGATAGAAAAGAAGTATATGGTCTCTAGGAGCTAATAATAATCTTGTTACTTAAAACATACTTTCCAAACTTTAAGTACTAAGTTCTGAAACATTAGAGGTAAGATTAAACAAAACAAAACAAAACCCCTTATCTGTGTATAATCGTTAATCCTGATCCCCAAAGCTTTGGAATTTGTTTAAATAAAAGGGCTCTGGCTTTTTTTTTTTTTTTTTTTTGCTTATCTTTATTGTCTAGTTCAAGTACCTCTGTTCTTTATTTTTAAGGCAGAAACCATTCATTTTAGGTTTTTAGTTCTTTTTAATATTTTGTTCAAATAATAATGTTTCACTTAGAAGTGAATGTGTACATGGAGAATTTTTATGCTTTAGCAATCCACAATTATTAAAAATCTAATGAATTAATGCCAGTCTGATTCCAGTTAAAATGACAATGTAGAAAAGTAATGTCTCCCACTATGGATATAGGCCTCTAGAAATTAATGATTGGGGGTAGCGGGAAGGCCATGGAATCAGCTAAAGGCATTTAACAAAAAATATCAAATCTCTTTTTCCTTTTGCTAAGCATGTGTTTCTCAAGCAGTTTTCTTCATATCTATCCCCCATCTCCCCTCTGCACCAAAACCATTGATCTTGAACCTTTAAGTCTTGCTCTTTTGTGCAGCATGCATCGGTGAATCCTCCTGTTAGAAATCCATGCTACCACTCACTTATTTTTATTCAATAGGCATAAATTTTCAAAGAAAAGTCCAAAGGATATTGTAAGTTGAAATTAACCAAGTCTTTGGCTAAAGAACAATCATCCCCAGAGAAATTTCCATTCAAGAGAAACATTGTGCACTCCGTTGCTTTTCTTTCTCATCATATCACATATTTACTGATAGCCAGATACAAACAGTAAAAATCAAGAGCAGATTAAATAATATGCTCTTAATGTAGGTAGTGCTTTACATAAAATTATAAACTGCCATATAATGAACCTTCAAAACACCAGTCAGGAAAATTTTTCAGATTACTTGAGATTGAATTAAAATGAGTCAAGAGTTTAAGGTAACAAATAAATGCCCAAGTACATATATTGCTAATGATTTTCTCACATATAAAAATGCGGTATTCATATTTCCGCATGATACAGGAATCCAGTCTCTTTTACTGGCACACTAAAAAGGATCCAAATCTTGAAAACAGGTAAAAATTCAGTACTTTAATACCACAAACTCATTCATTCCTAATGAGATTCTAGTCTTTATAATACCTCAGAGCAGAAGACCTATGTAAATAGTTGGGATTCAAAGTACATCTGAATTTCAACTGATCTGATATTTATTTTCTGTCCATTTTTTTGCTTATTGTTTCCCAACAAAATTCTTTCAAAAAGATCTCTTAAGAAAAACTCCAAAAGAACTTCATTGCCTGTATTATTATTATATGGGAGAAATAACCCAGTGACAGCAAATAGTCAATTTTACAAAATGAATTAATGTTAGAGTCTGAGAGAGAATTTAACACTCTGATTTAGGACAATCCACTTAACCACAAATAACAAGAGCAAACACAATCTTTTCCAAGCCTCACTATACCCTAGTACTCACTTGCCCCCCTCCAATCATTTTCACAGGGTCATATCTACTATGGGAATTAATTTCTCTAGCAATGACAGCAAAGATAAAATCTGATCCTTACCATGGTTGCTAAGTATAGTGGCTACCGTTGCTTTTTCTTTCTTCTAAGCTCTTCGCTGCTTCTGATAACTTACCTGATTTGCTTAGAGATAGTCTAAAAGCAGCTGTTTTTCTAATATCTATCTGTCTATATATTTATCTGATGTGTGAGAATGTGAGAGGGAAGGAATATATACTGATAAATCACTTAGGATTATCAGTAGTAGCACTCAGTAGGACTGAAGTTGATGATAGGAAGATAATTCCTCTGAGCCATTTCTTTTCAGAAAGAAATTTTGGGTGCCTTAAAAAAATAAAATTCAAAATCCTAAGTAAATAAGGAAATCATGAAAACAGAAGAAAACAAAAGGCAATTATTCCATTTTATTGATCCTAGTTAAAAAAAAACTAAAGTATTCAAACCCACTTTGAAATATACAACTGTCACAATGAAGGCATTTCAGAGCAAAATGTGCTGCAATATGCTATGATTAAAAGCCATGTAATCTGAGGAACCTCTGTTACAAAAAGAAAATGAACTAGGCAAAAAGCTTCTTACTACTTTTCTAAAAATAAAAGGCTGTAATTTTGTCATAGTTACACAAAGCTAGGTAAGACTTTCATCTTTATCTAGCATTACAGCATATTTCCATCCATAGGTATTATAATTACATTCAAAGGAATATACACGGTTTAATACAGAGAATAAACTACTATTCTATGATGCTACATGTGTTTGTAAACCTGAACCCATCGTAACATGTACTAAGGGCAATCATTTAGCACATACTCTCTACACAGAGAAAAGATTCTCACACAGCTTTCCTTGTATTCTTGGTTTTTTTAAATGTACAAATATCACCAGACACAAATGAGAGAATAAGGAGCAGCAACGAAATACAACATATGTTCCCAGTGTAGGCTGAGTCCAGGTCTTTGTTCCAATATTCCAGAGCAACTGGAAGAAAAACTAAGTACCCATCCATTAAAATACATTTTTACATTATTGCTGGCAAAAGTTATACTTCTGATAGGTTCAGTCAGAACCCATGCTATCCTGATTATTCCTGCCTGCATTTGCTTCTTTAATACAGATATCTTGCAATTCTAGGAACCTGCAATACAATCACCCTGAATAACAGTTCGGTAGCAGGACAATCTGATAAACAACACGAAGGGTAGACACTGAAGAAGACTGTAAAGTTATTTTCCTAGTGAAACAGTTCTGAAGTAATTCTACGTCAATGAGAAAATTTTTGCATTTTACCAGCTACGCACCTATTCAGATATCATCTACCTTCTCCTCATTTATAGCATGGTCTCCCTCAATCTTAGATCTCCTAGAACAGTTTTAACGGTGTAACTCAAACCAAAACCACTAACCACGCCCTTTATGCCCAGAGTCAAGCTTCCTTTTGCTTTTTCTCCTCAAAGTCCAAAAACGTCAATCTTTCACCCGAAAAGGTTTGCACCAGTTTCCTAACCCAAGGCAGACTCTTTCAGTTATGCCTTGGTGTAATTCCTATTGGAAGCTTTCTCGGGGCAAAGTGAAACGCCCGGAAGAGACACCCGCGCTTACCTCCCACACACCTGCAACCCCTGGCGGGATGCTGGAGCTAATGCTCTGAGACTGCTCTCCGCTCTGCTCTCGTTCCTGCTCTCCTCTCCGGGAAACTACAGCGCAGCCTGAGCCTTCGGCTTCTACAGGGACCCAAGCTCCGCCCCCCTCCTCTAGTTGGCGAATTTGGCGGCTGTTGCTCCTCCCCCTGCTGTTCCTGCTGCTGCCCTGGCTGGAGACAGCGGGAAGCAGTTGCGCGGGTACCTTCCCTCTGCCCGCACTTCTGCAGCTGCTCTGCCACTTCCCTTCCCCTGGGTTCCCTTTCCCTTCACAAGCCTCACACCTGGAGCTGCTGCCTCCTTCCCCGCCTGGGCGCCTCTGCGGGGAGCCTAGGCTCAGCCTATCCCTCCCCGACCCGACGGTCTGGTTGCTCGTAGGGAAGCTGCTGCTCCGCCGAGGCACGTCCCCACACGGCGCTCTCCCTCCGCCCCGGCGATTTCCCCGTGGCTTCTTTTGCACCGGCACGGTGTACTCAGCCCGGCAACCCCACGTTCCCCACCTCGCCCCTCACCCCCTTCCTTCCTCTGCTCCACTAGCCCGCCCCCTCAATGGGTGAGGCGCCTGCGGGGCCGACCCTGCACCCTGATTGGCGCAGGTGAGAGTAGGCCCCGCCCTTCCTCTCCTTTCCAAGCACCCTCTCTCTTCATCTCACCTCCTCCCTCAAAGGCAGGGAACTCTGCTACTATTGGCTAGGGGTGCCCCCACCCATGGCCTCAGGCTCTCCCGTACAGCCTGCCGGGAAGTGTAGTCCTGCGCATGCAGAATTCGCCAACAACGCCGGCGAGTGGAACTACGAGTCCCCATAGGCCCCTGCGCGACTCCGGCTGGGCAGGATTCCGGACAACGCCTGGTTCCTCTCAGGTCCTTCCGGCGTCGCCGGAGTGAATTGATCCGGAGTTGAAGAGGGCTCCAAAGGTGGGAAGTGAAGTCAGTGCCTCAGTTGCCGGTAAGGTGTAGCTGTTTTGCTGCAGTCCACGTAGCTCCGCGCAGAGCAAAAGAGGTCTGGGGTCACCCAGGGGCCGTGGCTGAAGCACTCGGGCTTGGTTTAGGCAGGCGGAGCCGACGGGGCTGGGAGCGGGGCCCTATGGGCGTAAGCGAGGTTACCTTACGCGAGTGGCGTAAAGCGGGTTTGTAAATGCCGCCTGCCTGGCTTGGGCCTGAACGCCTCCAGGAAGTGTCCTCTAGGTGGAGGCGGGAGGGGAAGAGCGAGGTTGGCCTCTGGTGCCCACAGAGAAGGAAGAGGGCGGATGTGCCTGGGGTGGGGTCTTCTGAAGGTGTGGCTTGGGAGAGAGAGGTGAGGCTGCTGTTTTCCCTCTGCTTTATAAGTAAGATAGGGACGGAGTGGAGAAGGTAGGGTTGCTTGGGAGGCTGCTTTTGGGGTGACTCAGGTTATGCCCTCTGAGAGAAGACGAACACTGGAGAAGGAAGACTCAAATGTTGGCTGAGGTTTACGGATCCCCTTCCAGTGTAATGATGTGGCCCCTCTAAGGAGGTAATTTTGCCTTAAGCAGAAAGGCTTGACCCTCTTAGGTGTAGTACCTAAGATATGTTTACTCCTTTACTGTTTTTAAAGCGCTTTCATATTGGGATGCTGATGAGGAAACTGAGGGAATATATGATGTGCCCAAGGTCACACAAATAGGGACAGATCTGAATCTAGTCCAGTTCGAGTCCAACTTCTGAACTAGAACTGCCGCCCCAACAAGAAAGAGTAGGGTTGGTTGTGTTTTCTGAAGAGGGTGAAGGAAGTTGCAAGTAATGGTATTTTATGTAGTATTTCTGAGAAGCCATTTGTGAGATGAAGAGTTGTTTTTTTGAGCTGGGATGAAATTCCTCAATAAAGGAAGGACTCTCTCTAACCTTTTGGAAAAATAAAAAGAAAGGGTCAGTTTAAACTTACATGATTTTTCCTTTTATTAGGGATATATTAAATGGTAGATTTTACTCCCACAGGTCATTTTTAAGAGTAGGTAATGAGATAGAAGAACATAAGTTAAACAGTATATCCCATCTTTACAGTTAAAAGAATACCCCTTTACCTTTCTACCTTAGGACTGTTTTTACTCTCATTTTGTAAAACTGAGAACAGTGGAATTGTGAAAAATGTGAAATTTTTCACAGAACTTTACACTTTTTTCAAATAATGTAGCATTAAGGAGAGTTTGGTGGGTTCATTACTAGCAAAGAAGATACATTGCATTTCTTGGAGGTAACATTTTACTTTTTGTTTGAGATTTTCGTTTACTCTTGACCTCATTTTCTTGACTCCAAGGGGTATTTGTGTATTCGAGTGTGTGAATGATAAAATCAATCTCTTGCATATTTTGTTTTTCTTTGCATCATCTGTGACTTGTAATTCATTCTTATTTTACATTAAAAAGTGAAAAAGCTTCTATTTTACATTGAGCAGAAAGCACTGTGCTTATTCCAGTCTTATACTGTATAATTATTATGGTTAATATAGCTCATGAATATTATTATTGGATAGGTTTTTAATAGAATTGGGGAAATATGTTCATTGATGTCAGGATTTTTTCATGATAAGTTTATATCCATAAAGGATACTTATAGTCAGCAGGTAATCATGGTTTACTGTTACGTATGTTGACCATCAAAATATGCTGAATTTTGAATGTACTCTGCAGTTATCATCAACAATGTGTTTAACTTTTGAATGCAGAAACACTTTCTAGGATCAGAGGTATTTTGTTCCCCTGTGACTGAAGTTAAGATGGTCTGGAAATGACTTTTAAAATACAAGAAGTATGATACTGTAGAATGAAGTAAAATCAGGAATAATATAGCACCGTAAGTGACAGAGTTCACAGACAAGGAAGAACCAACTAAAGAAATGGAAAATATGTGGGGATAACTGGCTTTGTGCTAGATTAGAAGGGTGTGGTAGTTGAAGTAGACCATAAAGTGAACATGAGTCAGTGATGGTAAAGCAAGATGTTAATGCGTTTTCTAAGATGGCAATGTAGGCATTTGCCTTTTGTTGGGGGAGGTGTGAAATGAGTTCTTCCAACTTTTTTCATGTAGCTATGTGGTTATGGGAAGAGATTTTGAACTAAGAGGAAAATTTGGAAATAAATAAAATTAATATAATGCACTTATTCATTGTATATTAATTTTTGTCCTTGGTTCAGTTCTACCACTAACTTCTCGTTATCTCTGAGGTCAGTTATAGTTTTGATATCTCACCCATGTTGGAATGCAGAGTAAGGTGTCTTGTATTTATTGCCTTTCAGTCACATGCTGGAGTACTGTGGTCATTTTGGATCTTTGCACATGGATAATTAAGAGTTCACAGAGCAATGTATACACTTGCATTTTTATAGTAGTTTGTAGCTCACCGGTGTCCACATTTGTTCTCATATTGGGCTTTTTGCAGGAGCCTGTGTCAGCTTTTGGATATCATCTCTTAAAGGACTTAGGATGACTTCCATATACATCTCTCTCTTTCTTTCAAGGATGTAAGGTCTGTAAGAACAGGAGCTATATATTATTTATCATTGTAGTCTCAGTAGCTAGGATAACTGGGTACCTATTTACAAAGAGAATGAAAAGGCTCAGATTGATTAAATGACATGTCCGAGGTCATGCAAGTAGTGACTAGTGGGACTAAGGTATAATCCACATCCTCTGACTGCAGATCTTTAATATTGTGTAATATAGACTTAGTTCCCTTAGATTATTCATGTGAGAAAAACACTTAATTTTGATTTAAATATTCAAATACTATTATTCTCTTACTGTTTACTATTGATAGTTTATCTCCTGTACTCCTATCCAGCTCTCCATCCTCATCCCCAGCCTTCCTCATTTATTGTACTTTTCTTTCAGTTATTACATACATAATCTCCTTCCTGACTTGGGGGCCTTTACATGTTCCTTCTCCCTGCCTGGACTGTTCCTTCTTCCCCTTCCCAAATACGGACACTTCCTAGTCAATTTTCATGTCTCAGTTTAAATGTCATTCCTCAGGGAACCTTGCTCTCCTTCCCCAAATCAGAGTAGATCTCCACTATAGTGGAGATAGTGTATAGTGGAGTATAGTGTATCTTCACTATACTCTGTACTGCTTTGTGGCATCATTATAATAGGAGCTTACTTAATTCAGTATTTTATTTGATAAATGTTTGTCTGCCTTGCTAGACTATAAGCTACCTGAGCAGGGTCCTCCCATTTGTCTTGTGTCTTACCACAGTACTTACACAGTACCTGGTACAAAGTAAATGTTCAATAAATATTTTCTGAATGAATGAATGAATGAATGAGTACATTCATGCACAGTGCCTCCAGCACTTTGCTAGGACAGAAATACAGAAATGAATAAAACAGATATGCTTCCCACTCTCATGGAGGATTGAAGTTTATAGGAACTTTCAAATGAACTATAAAGCTTAGGCAATTTAGGTTAGATACAAAGGAGTTAGTGGCAGAAGTTTAATGTAAATTGTAGAAAGATGTTTGTTCTTTCTTCTGAGGTGTCCCAAAAATCAGGATTAAGTAGTTTTCTATATGGAAATGACAAAGGAGTCAATATCATTTACAGCAAAATTACTGTATAACAGTATTTTAGAGACCTTATCACTGTTGTGCTTTTTGCAAGCTACATTGATTCTAGCAAAATATAGACATGGAAGAAACTAACTTTTAATGGACTCTATGCTTCTCTAATGTTATCTCATTTTGTCCTCAAAACTATTATATCGTTTAGGTAGTATTAACACTGTTTTAAAGCTGAGGACACCAAGGAATTAAGTTAATTTACTTTTTAATTCAAAGAAATGTAATGAAATTGCTAGAGTTTCCAGGGGGTAGATGCTCCAGCCAAAATTGGAATCTGGATCCGTCTTCATGCTTTTCCTTTTTTTTTTCTTTTTTCGCTTTGTTTGTTTTTAACCATGGGATCTTCCTATGAATTTTACCTTTAATATTGCTTGCTTTAGACAAGGTGACTTTGTAAAATTGAGTAGGTCTTATTTCAAAGAAATTGATATTTTGGGCTTCTTGAAAATTTTCCTAGGCCAGGCACAGTGGCTTATGCCTGTAATCCCAGCACTCTGAAAGGCTGAGGCAGGAGGATTGCTTGAGGTCAGGAGTTCGAGACCAGCCTGAGCAAGAATCAGACCCCATCTCCACTAAAAATAGAAAAAATTAGTTGAGCATGGTGGTGTGTGCCTGTAGTCCCAGCTACTTGGGAGGCTGAGGCAGGAGGATTGCCTGAGCCCAGGAGTTCGAGGTTGCCGTGAGCTAAGCTGATGCCATGGCACTCTAGCCTGGGCAACAGAGCAAGACTATGTCTCGAAAAAAAAAAAAAAGAAAATTTTTCTAATATTTAAGTGGATGTTATTTGCTTTAAACCTAGATACTTAAAAGCATAAAAAGATCATTTTTAAAATGAGCTAAATTTAAAACTCAGTTTCAGGGATACATTGTGTTAGGTTTTGGTCTTGAAAACAAATTCTGCAGTCTTTCTGCAATCTTCTGTGGTACCACAGTAATGGCATAGAATAAATTCAACAGCTTTGAGTTGCTGTAGCCTTTATGCCTTCATGGTTATACCAATTCACTCTCCCACAAGATACTATCAAAAAGTGATTGCAGATATTTGGCTTTAAAATTTGATAATGCTCCTAGTTTTTCTTAAATACAAGTCTTTACTGATTCCTAAACTTGTTTTTTAAAAAGCCAGTCTTGATGTTATTTGAATCTTGGATAAAATTTTCATATCTATCTGACATAACAAGTATGTGAAGGATAAAATTGAAGTATTGCTTCTTATATGTTGTTGGACTATTAAGGTCATTATGATAGTAATGTTACTAAGAATTTTAAGCCAATTCTATGATAAATAATTTTTCTCTGTAATAGAAAGTATAAAAGTGATTTAGAAGTTAAATAGTGTAATTGATTCTGTGTATTACCGCATTTAAAATG